TCTCTCTCTCTCTCTCTCTCTCTCTCTCTCTCTCTCTCTCTCTCTCTATCTTTTTCTCTTTCTCTTTCTCTCTTGCTTTCTTGCTTTTTTGGTTTTTGTTTCTGGTTACTTTGTTTCTTTTAGTATTGCGTCCAGAGCCTGTGCATTCAGCTACATCCCCAGCCCATTGCTTTTTGGTGGAGTTTGTTTGTTTGTTTGTGACGGGGTTTTCTGAGTTCCCCAGGTGGGACTTGAACCTGAGATCCTCACACCTTACCCTCCCAAAAGTACTGGAATCACAGACCTAGACCACCACATCTGGATTCTCTTTCTACTTTCTAAATAAAAGACTAAAAGAAAAAAGTATATAAAATGATATGTTTATCTGCATAAAAGTCTACAACGTTATGGAGAGTGAAATGTAGAAATCAATTGGTTAAGCTCCAACACCTTTAGAGACTCCACGTCACTTGGAAAATTAACATAAAAATACTGAGAAGGAAATATCTCCATATTATAAGGCTAACAGTATCAGAAAAAATAGGAAAACAAAATGTCACAAAAACAGGAAAGGTAAACTATTTCTAAATAAGAGAGTCATTATAAGGAGAAAGAAACAGAAATTGAGAACAATACAGACAGAAGACAATCAAAGATTACAGGTTAGATAATGATCTAACTGGAGACTTCTAACCCAGACCAAACAACCTTCTCAAGAGAACATTTTCTAATTAGGATGAAAGGAAACTCAAGCACAGGGCAGCCAGAACTCATGGAATACATTCACTGTGTTCTGCTTTTATTATAAACATAGGGCAACTAAGCCCATAGCAAGTCCTACACTGAAATTATTCTAAAAGGTTATCAAAAATAACTATAGGGATTCCTTAATCTAGGATCCATCTTCTCTTATTTTTATCCCTTCTAAAGAATACACCACATATTCTTAAAATTCTGTGCCTGGCTTTGTTTTGTGTTTGTAACGGTAAGAGAAACACTATTTTAATGTATCTTGATTAAAAAATACATTTCATCACATGACAATACTATAAACCCCACAGTGAGCAGAGAGAGAAGAGAATGAGGCTTAGTAAATGTTCTTAGAATATGCATACATGCATTTTTCACAAAATAGACAAAAGATCTAGTGACAAGATTCTTCATTAGTAAAATGGAAAAAAAATAGGTAGCTTACTGAGGAGTTATAAGGATTAAACCAGCTCACATATAAAATGTCTAGGACAGCCCCTGGAACATGACATAGGCTCCAACTTGTTTACAGGATGACCTTTTTAAAATCTCTCACATTAAAGTTATTCATGTAATTAGCAAACCAGATATGATTCAGAGGAAAGACTCCTTTTATGTTTACTTATCAATCATTAAAAGGAACAGTATAGCATATAAAAATAGAAGAATTGCTTCCATCCTTCAAAAATGCACTCCTCTTCAGTCACTAAATTGTGTAATAGTATACTTGAACCACAGCAAGACAGAATTCTGAAATATGTTGAACATGTATTTAAAAGACAGAATTCTGAAATTTAAATTTAAAGAAAATAAATGGGGGTTTTGGGGTTTTTTGAGACAGGGTCCTGCTGTGTACATTAAGCAAGCCTTAAACTTGCTGCAATCCTCCTGCCTCAGCCTTCTGAGTGCTAAGATTATAAGCATACACCACCATGCCCAGCTGATGGAAGGAATTTGGAAAAATAAAATGAAAAGTTTCTGAAAAAGAAGGAAATAGTTACCAAAATTCTTACTTTGTTTTTCTGACAAGAAATGGCTGTAGATCTTGAAAAATATTCCCTGTTTTTCGTCCCACTTCTAAATACAGATTTGGCCGATCAAAACTAGTACAGGTAATCTGAGGATTGTTGAGTTTTAAGCAACGTATAATATCTTCCTGGATTGAAGAACTTGCAGTAGCAGTGAGTGCAACTATTGGAACCTGAGTAAAATAAAAAAAAAAGAACTCATTAATTCCAAGCATTTCTACTGCCTTCTTACAAAGAATTTGTTATAACTACAGGAGGCAAGCTGTCAAAAATACAACTTTAATATTACTCTTTAAAAAAGAAAACAAAAAAAATCTTGTATTTCAGACTTCTGAATATAATCTTTTTTTTTTTCATTATTGAGGATTAAACTCAGGGACCTGCCCATGATAGGTTAAGTGCTCTACTACTAAACTACATTTCCAGCCAATATTTACTTTTTAAAAATCAAAAATCATTTAAATAAAACATGAAATCCATAAAGTTCCTAAATGCAATTGACCTTATCTGATTAAATTAAACCTACTCATTAGGTATCTACCTCTGCATTTATTGTTGTAACATTTATTATATCTTTTTGACAAAAGGATGAGCCATATTATGCTTTATTTTTTAATAATCTATAAGTCACATATTAAAAACAGAAAAGAACTCTGTAACACACTGTAGTTGAAATCCCAGAAGTCCCACATAGGAACAGTATCATAAAAGCTCTTAGAGAAAAGCAACAAATCATTCATAAAGACAAAACCATTAGAACCTCAGTAGACTTTTCAACCAAACCTTACAGGCCAGGAGAACCTTCAGAAATTCATAATCACCAACAAGCGTTCCAAAAAACTCAAGGATATCTTGGACAGATAATGAACCAATGAAGCCAAAAACACTAATGGAATGAATACATCAAACAGGGAGAGCAATTAAGAGAAAAATAAAAGGAATAAGCAACAGAAAAACAACACAATGACAGGAATGAGTCGATACCTTTTAGTAGTAACACTCAATGTGAATGACCTCAATTCCCCAAACAAAAGACACAGACTGACAGATTGGGTCAAAACACAAAACTCGGTGATATGCTGCATATAAGAAACACATTTAACACAAAAGGAAATTCACAAACTAAACATTAATGCCAGGCATGGTAGTGCATGCCTGTAATTCCACCACTTGAGAGGCTAAAGCAGGAGGACTGCTGTAAGTTTGAGGCCAGCCTGAACTACACAGTAAAACCTTGTCTCAAAAAAAAGACAAAAAAAAAAAAAAATCCTCTAAACATCAAGGATGAAAAACAGTATTCTATGCAATAGGAGACTTAGAGCAAGCAGGAATAGCTATCCTATATTCAGACAAGGTAAAATTGATGAGAAGAGGCACAGAAGGTCACTACACACTGGTTAAGGAACCAATTCAACTGGAAGAGATAATTATAAATATATATGCACCAACTTCACCCAACTTCATAAAATCAACACTATGGTATACAAAAGATTATATATACATTAACACAATTATAGTGGAGTACCTCCATACAACACTATTACAAAGAAACAGAACAACCAGACAAAAATCAACAACAAAAAAAAAAAACAGCGTTAAACCACACCATTGAAAACATGAACATAATATATATCTAGACTTCCACCCAACAAAATGTACATTCTTCTCAGTACCACATGGAACTTTCTTAAAAACAGACTGCATACCAGCTCATACTGCACGCTTAAGTATGTACAAAAGAATCAAAATTACTTCACGCATACTATCAAAACATGGTGCAATGAATGAGAAATCAATGGCAAAAGAGATCACAGAAATTATGCAAACACATGGAGATTAAACAGTACACTCCTTAGTAATCAATGGGTCACATAAGAAGTCAAGGAAGAAATTAGACATTTCTACAATTAAATGATACTAGTACAATACAACAGAAACTATGGGACACAATGAAAGTAGTCCTAAGAGAACATTTATACTTGTGAATACACAAATCACAAATATAGAGCAAACCCAAATAAATAACATAATGATGTACCTTAAGGTCCTAGAAAAACAAAAACAATCTAAACCCAAAGCTTGTACAAAGAAGAAAATTATGAAGATCAGAGATGAAATTCAGACTAAAAAAAATAAAATTGATGAATCAAAGAGCTGGTTCTTCAAAAGAAGAAACAAAATAAACAAACCTTTAGCCAAACTTACCAAAAAAAAGTAAAACTCATACTAATGCCAATTATAAATGAAAAAATCTAAATCATGACAGACACCATCACAATCCAGAAAATTATTCATAACTACTTCAAAAACCTGTAGCCTAAAACTTGGAGCATCTGGAAGAAGTGGATCGATTCCTAGGTACACATGAATCACCAAAACTGAACCAAGAAGATATAAAAACACTGAGCAGTCAAATAACAGAGAATGATATTGAGGCAGCAAAGCAAAACCTACTAAAAAAAGTTCAGGACCCAATGGATTTGTCACTGAATTCTACCACAACTTTGGGGATGATCTAATGCCAATATACCTCACACTTTCTAAGGAAATCCAAAGGTAAGGAGTATTGCCAAACTCATTCCTGGAAGCTAGCATTACCTTGATTCCAAAAGCAGATACAGACCCAAATGAAAAAGGCTACAAGCCAATCATTTAATGAACATAGATATAAAATCTTCAATAAGATTCTGGCAAACAAAATGCAACAAATCAAAAAGTCATATATCATGACCAAGTAGGCTTCATCTCAGGGATGCAAAGATGGTTCAACATACATAAATCAAGAAATATCACATAAACAGAAGGCCCAAAATTACATGATCATCTCAACAGATGCAGAAAAAGCCTTTGATAAAATCCATTATCCATTCTTGATTTAAATAAAGAAAATAGGTATAAAAGGACTTTACCTCAATCTGACAAATGCCATTCATTACAAATCTACTACCAACACTGTATTAAGTGGGGAAAAACTGAAAGCTAGATAAGAACATCCACTATCACCATTCACATTCAATATAAGACTCAAAACTTTAGCTACAGCAATCAGACAAGAGAAAGAAAGAAATAGGGTACATATAGGAAAGGAAAAAGTGAAATTACCCTTATTTACAAACAACAATGATCCTTAACATAGAATACTCAAAAAAAATCCACCAAAAGAATCCTAGATCTAGAAAACAAACTCAATCATGTAATAGAAAACAAAATCAACACACACAAAAAAACCAGTAACCAATTCCTGTACACCAATAATGAACCCTGAAAGAGAAATTAGGAAAATAATATCATTTATAATAGCTTCAAGTAAAATTACTTAGGAATTAACCTAACCAAGGAAATGAAAGACATGTGTAATAAAACTACAGTACTCTTTCAAAGGAGATCAGAGAGGACATAGAAAAATGGAAAGATATTCCCTGTTCTTCAACTGGCAGAACCAATATTGCCAAAATGAACATACCTCCAAAACTGATATACAGATTTAATCCAATCAAAAGTTCTCTAGTTCTTACAGTTCTTACAGAACTGGAGAAAGGAATTCTAAAATTCATATGGGACCAGAAGAGACCCAGAATAGCAAAGAACAATCCTGGGAATAGGAGCAAAGCAAGAGGAATCACAATCCTGGATTGCAGCATATAGTGATAAAATAGCATGATATTGGCACAAGAAATACATACATGGATCAATGGAATAGAATATAGGATGCAGAAACAACCTCAGGCACATTCAAACATCTGATCTTTGATAAAGGGGCCAAAAACATATACTGGAGGAAAGGCAGCCTCTTTAGCAAATGGTGCTGAGAAAACTGGCTAACCACATGCAGAAGATTTAAATTTAGACCCATCTATCTCACCATGTACCAAAACAAAATCAACATGCATCAAAGACCTAAAAATCAAAACAGAAACACAATTTGCTGGAAGATAAAATAGGTTAAACTCTTGAAGATATAGGTTAAGGACTTTCTGAACAAACCCCACTTGCACAAGAAATAACATTAAGACTCAACAAAGGAAACTATATCTAATTAAAAAGTTTCACCAATAGAGTGAAGAGATAAACTATACACAGGAAAAAAAATTTTCCAAGCTACCCCGTGGATAGAGGACTAATATCTAGATTATATAAAGAATTTTAAAAAACTAGATCCAATCAAAAAAAATGGGCAACTGAAATGAATAAAACTGGACATCATGGTGCACACCTATAATCCCAGCTCTTGGGAGTTGGAGGCAGAAGGACTGTCATGAATTCAAGGCCAGCCTGGGCTACACATTGAGTTCAAGGCCAGCCTGAACTATATAGCAAAACTCTGTGTCCAAAAAGCCCAAAATGAATAAATTAATTAATTTTTTAAAAAGAAATGAACAGAAACTTCTCAAACAAGAAGACATGTTCAACATCTTTGGCCATTAGAGAAATTCAAACTGAAACAAAACTGAGATTCTATCCTACTCCAGAAAGAATAGCTATCATCAAGAAATCAAATAATAAATACTGGTGAGGCTGCAAGGAAAAAGGAACTCTCCTACTATGTTGGCTGGAATGTAAACTAGAATAACCATTACAGAAATCAGTATGGCAATGTCTCAAAAGAAAAAAACAAATACAGAAATTCCATTTGACCCAGCTATTCTCCTAGGTATCTTCCTGAAAGAGTTAAAGACAGCATATTAGAGTGATACATTCATATCCTATGTTTATCATAGCATACCTCATAATAACCTAAATTTTGGAAGTGGCCTGTATGTCTATCAACAGATAGATAACAAAATGATAACAACTTATTGAGCCAGGTACTATTCCAGACTTTAAAAACAAACCAATCAAAAATCCTTCTCCACAAAGAACATGCTAGTAAAGATTCATAAACAAAAGACAAAATACAATACAGTAAGTTAAACAGATGTGTGCCATTTTAAAAAACAAAAGTATTTGAAGAATGTTTAACATTGATAGGATTAATTTGATATTTTAAATATAGTAGTCTGCAAGGCCTGAATGAGAAAGCAATAATGTGTATTAGTGAGGACCTAACAGAAGTAAGGGGCATACTACCCAATTACCTGTGTGAAAAATATTCAGGGAGAGGAAACAGCAGAGCATGACTGCAAGCCTAAAGCCTAATGACGGCAGGGAGGCTGGAGCACAGTGAATGTCAAGA